CTCTCTCCTCCCTTGGCCCCTTTCTGCTTCTCTCTTCCCCCCCCCTCTCCACATCATCATCCGCCCTTCACGATCTTCCACCACCACGCTTGCTCGCCTTTCGGAGCCCATCTGGCTCTGGGAGGGGGGGGCGAGCAAAAAAAAAGGGGGGGAGGACGCACCCCAATGTTTTCGGAGGTCAGGGGTGGGAGAAAGAAGGAGTAAGAGCCGAAGTGAACCCAGAGGCTGGAAACCAGGAGGGGGAAAAGTGGTTCTCAACGAGGTGTGTCAGCAAACGTGCCCCAGGACGGCTCACAATCGGGAAGTCCTGGTGGGGAGGCCAAACCTAATGGGGTTGCAAAAGTAAACGTGGGGGGGGGGAAGAGAGGGGAAAAAAGGGGGGCGGAATATTCTACCACTTTAAAGACTGGCTTTTCGGTGGATCTAAATCCAGACACGCCAATAATACTTGTATTCATTCCGTCGAGATGAGATTGGTGTCCAGATGAGCAGACAGATAACTGACAGCGGGACACTGGTTCGTTAGCGCAGGAATGGGAGGCTCGTGTTGTTAATTATCAGATCGTGACTGAGAGGATCGGCGAGACAGATGGGGCTCCCCCAGGAATGCTAAGCGGGGCTGCGTCTGGATCGGCGCTCCTGGGTCTGGAAAAGTGGGGTTCAGACCCACCCAAGCTCACCCTGAAATAACCCCCCCAGCCTTTCAGGGGCTACCACGTTATGTTCCCCCCCCCTTTTTCCCATTTGCTCCCCCCCTTTCCTTTGGCCAACGTGCTCCGAGACGGACTAACACAACTACTACTTTGCACACACACAAAAAGCGCAACCCTAACCCAAGCACCCCCGAGGTGGTTGGATTCGGTTGCGCGGTCCAAGGGGAAAGACCCGCTTTTCCGCGCCTCTTTCCTTCGCCTCTCTGTCCCGCTTCTCCCCAGGAAAGCGACGGCCTTTCATCAGCATCTATCGTCAGCATCTCAGAACGGCAGAGCTGGAAGGGACTCTGGGAGATCATCCAGCCCAGCCCCGGTCGGGGAGGCCCAGCGGGGGAATCGAACCCGCCAACCTCTGGCTCCGCAGCGCCGGAGGCTTCAGATCCCAGTCCTCACGACCACGGGCGAGCTTCCGCGTTCGACAGAACGCTTCGTCAGACCCGGTGGGGAGACAGAACTGGGGAGGAGGAGGAGGACGGGTTCGGGGCCCCCCCACACCCACTTCTTTGTTCCTCTCCCCTCCCTCCATCCTGCTCTCCTTGCTTCCTTCTCCACCTCCCCCCCATTTCTCCCTCCCCCTCCTAGCGTGCCGGAAAAGGCCGCTTAAGCTTTATTGGCATGACAGGGGAGTGCAAACCAATC